TAAATAAAACTTATGGCTTAATAGTTTTAGCTCAATCATCATAATAATAACCATGGTTACAATATTTAAAAAAAACATAATTCATTATTAAAAATTTTTATATAGTTAAAGTAAATATACCAAAATTTTTTATCAGTGCTGTAGACATAAGGCTTCTGTTAATGTCTGACATGCTGGTCAAGTCTGACATGCTGATCATCTCTGTAAGCTCTTTTCATTTAGTGTAAGTGAGAAAGTTTTTAGAAATTTTGAATTAATCTAATTGCATCATTAAAGTTGACCTTGATGGACAACACTCTCATCATTTATCAGTAACTTCTGGGGTACCACAATTCTCCATATTGAATTCTGTGTTGTTCCTGTTAATGACCTTTCTGATAATCTTACCACTTAAGTGCCATTATTTGCTGATACTTTATACTCCAGAATTAACAAAAAGTCATCACTTTTTGATTGCTTAGGATAGGTAGCTGATCTTTAATGTTATTTTTTGTTTGGGTTAATATTTAAATTCCACTTGGCTGTGGAAGTTAAATTTTAATCCAAACAAAACTCAGTTATGGCTAATAATTATCACAATATTGATATTTTTCTCATAATGATGAATGGCAGCAATCTTATTGAGTCTTCTAATTTTTTTTTTTTTTTTTTTTTTACCATTAACCTCTTATGAAAACTATATACCCAATCCATTGCAAAATTAACATCTGCTAAAGTTGACTTACTTTACTTTTATAAATTTCTAATTTCTTTTTATATAGAATACTGTTTTTCCAATAACCATCTTACTTATTTAGACAAGGTCCATTTATACATGTAAATGTAATGTAATTGGTTCTGCTTTAGCTGCCAAAGTTCTCATCTTTTTTTCAATTCTACAAATACTATCATGGTTACTGCGCAAGAGAGCTTTTGTCTTTTGTTTCATCAACTAAAACTCTCTTGTGACTTGTCATTCATCAAAGTTATATCCTTTTACTGTTCCTACTTGTTCAAAAAACTTTTATTTATCTAGTTTTTTTCCATGGACATCAGTGCTTTAGATTTCTCCTTTAAAAATCCTAATATAAAGGGAACTTTTTATGTTTTTTTTTACGATTATCATTATAGTATTTAAGTTGGTAAATTAGATTAAAAGGTCCTCCAAAAGGTCCTAATAGTCTTATCAGTCAGAAGTAGAATTACAAAAAAAAAACTGTTTTTTTTTAATCTGTGTTTTTTTGCAATAAAAAACACAGATTTTTTTGTTTTTGTTTTTGTTTTTTTTAATTAAAGATTTGAAAAAAAAGAAAAAGTTTTGTTATATATAATTTAACACAATTTTAACAGTCAATACAAACTTAAATAAAAAGTTTTTTTTTAGACATCAGGTTCTTTATTTTAAATTTCTTGTTGAGTAAAGTTATCAATTGAGAAGTCAAATACAGATTCATCAGAGTCACTTGATATGTTTTCCTCTAAACTCTGTACAGTAAGACTGCCTAGATTGAATTTTTGGCTTTGACTTTAAGTTGTTGATGGTTCTGTATCACATTTTTGATTTTTGAGTTCTAAGTTGTGGGAAATAAAAACTAGTTGAGATGTTTGGTCATTTGTTAATCTATTCTGTTTTTGATTGTGGACCCAAGGTTGTTGACTAAATGTTCTTTCCACTACAACACTTGTTAGTGGAAGTAACTTTAGATGTAAAAAAGTTAAATAATAGAACTTTCAAAAAGTTTTTTGCTTTTTTCAGTATTAAAAAACACTCAAATAAAGATTAAATAATTATGAACACACTTCATCTCCAGAGATATGACATCCTTAATATCGGAGATCCACTAAATTTTCAACCAAGTGAATGTTTCGTATGTGAAATTTTATTTCTCTGGCAATTATTTCCATCATAGCATTTTCTTCATTTTTTAGTAATGGGTTGCAAAAAATATTGTCCTGAAAAGATTTTTCTAAATCAGAAAAAGTTTTGGCCACAATAGAAAGACTTATTTTATCTCCTTTGACAGCTGCAATTGCTACGGCTATTGGTTTTAATAACTTAATAAACCCATCCACTTTATCCCATAATACTTCTGACAAAATTATATTTTAAACAGAGTTAGCAAGTGATTTAGCTTCATCATCTATAGCTAATCCCCACAGTGCCAACCTGTTGTTGTGAAGACTTTCAATACAGTGGATTATTGACCCCATCTAAAGAAACAAAATATTGAAATTAAATACTTAGCTGTCTAATTTTAAGGCTTACATTCTAAACTTACAAACTAAATTTGATCATTCAGATTGATAAATAGCAGTGACGGTCAAGGGGGAGATGGGATGGGGATATATTCCTTCCCATCCCCACCAGAATCTGGAAATCCTAAAATTTCTTAGAAATTGCAAACATAGTACAAACTACAAAAATATTTCAACATCCCTCCCCTCCCACCACCACCACCAAAAAATCCTGGATCCGTCACTGATAAGTTGTGTAATAGCAATTAGATATACTTGAATTTTTAACAAACCTAGTTTTAACTGGAGGTTTTAGTGATTGTTGAATGGCTTGTCCTAATTTCTGCTGGTGTTTTTTTTTAAAGCTGATAAAATTTGTGACTTCTTTATCGTTTTTTCTACCATTGTACAATCTTGTTGGGAAGCTGCAATTGATTCAAGGTTACTTGCATAAGTGAAAATCAAATTTAGTGTATGGACCAGGCATTCATAAGGGTATATGTGAGGAAAATCGTGAACAATTAGTTTCCGTGCTCTTTGCATATTGGTTACTTTGTTAGTACATATACCCAGAACTTTCATAGGTCCAACTTCACATACTATTTTTTAATTATTTTAGCTATATATTCGTCAGTATAACTATCTGCACCTAAAAAAGCGGTAAAGTGTGTTTAATAAACCATTATCAACAAAGGCTTCAAATTATTTCAAAAAACTTAATTTAGATATTATTTTAGAGAATAAAAAACAAAACATGGTATCTGACTATTATGAAACAGGAAAAAATAATCTCAAAAGATTACCTGTTTCAATGCTAATCTTAAATACTGATTAAGGTATTGTTACAACAAAATTAATGATTCCTTCATTTGCAATTAGTAAAATACAGTAATCAGTAATCCATTTACTAACTAATTAATAATACTGATAGATAAATTGGTTTATTTGCATATTATTTATTTATTTTTTCATTGCTTTCCATTCACGTTCTAATTTATACACATTACACAAGTTCTAAATTACTTAAATTCTAAATTATTTACTTGGTTATATAGAGTTTTAAATTTATGAATATCTAGGGCACAAATCAGAATTAAAACCGTTCCAAATTTAAGCTACATTTTCTTACCTGATATTGCTCCATCCATCATATAAAATTGCTACACTTTAGGCAGTTACAACAACTTCTTTAGTGGTTGTTGAGGTTTCCTTATAAACCCTTTCAAGCAAAGAATTAGACAACATGGTCAGGTAATTTAAATGCAGGTCACAATTTTGCAAAAAATTTAAACCACAACTTATTTTCAAAAAGTCTCAATGAGCATCCAGTACTAAAACTTTTTATGATTCACCCTGTAAAATTTTACATCATAATTTTTATTTGAAGTTATTTTTTATTTTACTGTTTACTTATGTACTTCGTTATTGCTAGGCTATTCATTGCAATCGATATTTGCAATAACTAAATTAATTACTTACTACTTGTTCATTAGTCATTTTGTCTGAGAAAATATAGGTTGCAATTTTATTTTTCTGAACTCTTATTAAAGAATGTAGTTGTTTTAAGGGAGTCCATGCCAATTCATTCTTATTCTCTTTAAAGTTTTCAATTCTTGAAGTTGTAGAGCTACTTTGACTTCGAAAAAAATTTGAAGTATGAAAAAATGACTCAATTGGAGTTTGCAATGTAGTAGATGGCCAACATATTTTTTTCTCTGCTTGTCCTTCTTGAGCATCTAAATTTTCAGGAACAACTTCTTTTATTATTAAACCAGTTTGAACTTTTTTTTGTTTTAAGGGAACTTCATTTAAATACTTGTTTTTTATTTGGACACTACATTTTATCCAGTTAAATTTATACTTGGCCATTCTTGTGCTATTTTTTGCTAATTTTAGGCTGCAAAATTTTCATACAACTTGTTGAGTTTTAAAATCTCCAGGTTCTGCAGGTGTCTCATTGAACAAATTAGCAACAAAACATTTCTTTCTGCCTGGCATAATTTTTGCTAGGTTGTTAGTTTATTTACACATATCAATTATCTGAAACTATTTTTTTAGAGTTTATACAACATTAACAACTTATACTAAATACAAATTTTTAAAATGAAAAGTTTTAATATTTTACCTCCATTACCAACTATGATTAAAAATACCTGTTACAAACTAACAAAGTTAAACTCTCAAAATAAACCTAACTATGTTTAAAATTCGATACATTGGTATAATAGAATAATAAGTTTATTTAATAAAATAATTTGTTTATTTTTTTTCTGTGGTACTCTAGTTTGAGTACCACAGAAAAGCATTTAGACAGAAAGTTTATTTTTTACCTATATTATTTATCTAACCATACCTCTTGGTTCTAAGCCAGTATCTAACCACTTGGTGGTATTAACCACTGCGCCATAGCTGCTACTAGCCAATAAAATATCCTGTATATAAACTGTATATCATGTGTATATACTGTATGGGGTCATCCATAAATTGTCACACTCTAGAAAGGAGGGGGGGGGGGATTAGTGGTTTTGTGACAACTCATACTAAAGCGTTACTAAAGTGTTAAGATGTTGTGACAAGGGGGGAGGGGGAGGGAGGAAGGGGTTAAAAATTGTGTTATGTAATTTATGGACGACCCCTATATAAAACTAGCAACAAGAAAAAACAACTAAATTTTTTTTTACATAAATTTTTTTATTTAAAAAAAGTCAATTTTATTGCCATGTATTTTTATACAATTGTTAAAGATTGTTTATTGTTTCATTTTTCAAGTTTTTAAAATACATTAGGCTGTGCCTCTCAATAAGCGATTTTCATCCTGACACCTGGAACCCAGCATGGTCTGTATCAACAATACTGACAGGGCTTTTGAGTTTTATGGTAAAGTTTTTTTTTTTCAATTTTTTTAAGCATTTTATCAGAGGCAAATCATTTCATATAAATTTTTTTTTAAATTATGTAATAGTTTTTAAATTAAGACAATTGTTTCAAAACAATTTTTTCTTTTCTAGTAATAGTTTTTTTTAGAAAACATTTGTGTTAAGATTTGATTTATAAATAATTTTTTATGTACAAGATTTATTTAAAATTTAAAAACTAAAACTTTTAAAATTTTCTCAAAATTTTATACTACTTTGCAAACCACTTTTAAAGTGGTTATTAAAAGTTTTTAACCACATTTCTCACTAACCACTTTTCAAGTGGTTTGTAAAAGTTTTAACTACATTTTTTAACGTAATAACTACTTATGGCATTAGGTATAAGGGTAGTCATTTGGTTTCAGATCTTGAAAATCAAAATTAATTTTATCTACAAGATCTGACACTATATACATCAGTATTCAATTTTTTTTTTGCAAGCTCACCAGTAAGATATACATAATAGATCCTTCTTGTACGCTAAATGCTAAAGTAAATAAGGGTAATCATTTGGTATAAGGGTAGTCATTTAGTTTCAGATCTTGAAAATAAAAATCTAAATAGTTTTGAAGTTTTTTCTTCAAGATTTGACACTAACCAGAAATATCTAGTTTGTTTACGCAATAAATTTGCAATAGAAAATAGGATTAATTATAATATAAGCACTAAATTGAATATATGAGCATTAAACTTGAATATAATTTAATAAACATATCTTTTAGCTTGAGAAAGCCCCTACACTAGGTAGTATTGAAACAACAGATTATCAGGTAAAAATGGTTTTTTTATTATTAACTTATTGATATGTAATCTTTGTTCAAATGGTGTGTATGTGTGTGTGTGTGTGTATATATATATATATATATATATATATATATATATATATATATATATATATATATATATATATATATATATATATATATATATATATATATATATATATATATATATATATATATATATATATATATATATATATATATGTATATATATATATATCTAAATATCTAATATATATATATATATATATATATATATATATATATATATATATATATATATATATATATATATATATATTTAGATATATATATATATATATTTAGATATATATATATATACATATATATATATATATATATATATATATATATATATATATACATATATATATATATATATATATATATTTAGATATATATATATACATATATATATATATATATATATATATATATATATATACATATATATATATATATATATTTAGATATATATATATACATATATATATATATATATATATATATATATATATATACATATATATATATATATATATATATATATATATATATATATATATATATATATATATATATATATATGTATAATATATATATCTAAATATCTATATATATATATATATATATATATATATATATATATATATATATATATATATATATATATATATATATATATATGTATATATATATATATCTAAATATCTAAATATATATATATATATATATATATTATATATATATATATATATATATATATATATATATATATATATATCAGTGAAGAACCCAGTGTTTATTTGGGGATACCGTTTTTTTTCAGCAATGTTGAGGGGAGGGAGGGAATTATGCTTTTGATTTCCACCTCTCCTCATTCTCCTTTAGTTAAACGGGTGCCGCAACAATAATTTTTAATCATCATTTTCTTAATAATCATTATGTTTATCTTGTTCACTTGTATCCTATAATAAGGTGTTGATTTAAAGGCATTTTTTGAATACATGAATTTACTGGTGGACGATGTTACTTTAGCTAAATTAAAAACTATTTTACTTAAAATTTTAATAAACGCTTTTGTTTCATATACCACACTAAAGTAAATAATTATTGAAAATTGTTTAAAGTATTTTAAACAGTTATTAACTATATTTTAGTGAAATTAACTTAAAATAATAATTAAAAATATTTTAAACAATTTTTAATCAATATTTATATTACATAATATATTTACATATATTATATCGCGTAATACAGGGGTCGGCAAATTCTGGGCCTTTGCTTCATTATTTGTAGGTCCCAAGCCACCCAACCGCATATTATACAAAGTAGTATAGTTGTGGTTAAATGACCTTGTGCTAGCTGCAACAACAAAATACTCACCAAATTTTTAATTGTATTTTATGTGTAATACAATTATTAGTTCTTTAATCTAATTCTATACTATATTATATTATATAGTTAATATAGTATATTTTGTATATAATTTATTTATTGCTGTGGGTCGCAACTAAAACAAGAATTTTGCAACTCCTTTGAAAATATGGTGCCGACCATAATTTTTGTAAAATTAACAAAATAGTTTTACGTATTGTATTTGAATTAAAAACATAAACATTTAATAAACTAATTCAATAAGCATTTAATAAAAGTATTTATGAAAATATTCAAATAAAAACAATATTTTTATCTTTTAATTTCCATATATATATACCATGCTGTCAAAATATATATGGAAATTAAAAGATAAAAATATTGATGATTTTACACTGAATTGGTCCATCCTTAAAACAGTGCCTGCATAAACAATATTTCCAAAAAAAGGAAAATACTGTCTACAAGAAAAATTTGAAATAATTACACATAAAAACCAAGAATGTTTATTAAACAAAAAATCGGAATTGATTTCTAAATGCAGGCACGAAAATAAGTTTCTCCTAAAAAACTATAAAAATAAGTGAGCTCAAATAATAGTTACATTAACTCCCCTTTGAAAAAAAAATATTATTTTTTAAAAAAGCTTAAGTAATCATTTCTAAAGAATTCTTTTTACAATAGTGTCAGCAAATTACACAAATGTGTGAAAAATTGCAGTAGTTAAGACATGTGACTTCCTGTAATTTAATTTTTGGTATAAATTGAAGTTTTATTAATTTGATCATTCATTTCTGATGAGTCTTTATTGATGAAACACAGTGTTAAATGAGAAAAAATTTTGCTAAGTGATTTTCTACTAATTTATATATTATATATATATATATATATATATATATTATATATATATATATATAGTATATATATATATATATATATATATATATATATATATATATATATGTATGTATATATATATATAGTATATATATATATATATATATATATATATATATATATATATAAATATATATATATATATATATATATATATATATATATATATATATATATATATATATATATATATATATATATATATATTATATATATATATATATATATATATAAATGTAAAGAAAATAATTCAATAAAAATCAGAAGAAAATAGTTCAATAACCCACTTAAAAATTTTCGTTTGTTATGTTTTAACTTCAAAATTGTCAAAAAAATATTCTGTTTTGCTACCATGTTTTGCACTTTCATCAATTCCAGAGTTGTCTAAAATATAACAAAGTTTAAAATTTTAATACATTAAATGTTGCCAGTTCAAAATGTTGCAGAATATTATAGATTAAAAAAAAGTTTTTGGTTTATTAAAATGTTGCTTAGTTATCTAAATAATTTTATGATGTCAGTTGTGATGCATAATTATGATAATTATGGTGTCAGTTGTAATGCATAAAGCCTAGAAATTGTTTCAATTTTAGTTTAAAATAACTACTGAGTCTCAAAAGTTCAGTTTCTCAGTCATGGCACAAAGTTAACAGTGCTCCATTAGAATTATGCTAGAAAGTGAGTGTCATCTAACAGCATACACGCTATTGCTTGTAATTGAATCTTTTAAAGATATTTTAAAATATGAAAGAGTATTAATAATGCAGAGAACTAATCTTGTAATAATTTATGTCAATTTAACAACTTTTCTGCATAAACATGTTAATCTGAAACATAACTAAATTAACACCAAGATACAATCCGTTTATGTTGTCAACAAAGTCATTGCTCAAAAAAACTTTTATGCAGAGTCTTGAACACGACTTGACTTGAAAAAAAAAAAAGCAGTTATTAATAAACTTTTAACTGCTCTGGTTGTCACCAGAACTTAATCTTGCTTTATCAAACATCATTTAAGTTCAAAAAGATATTCAAACCAAAGCTGGTGGTCTAGACTTCCTTGTTAAATATGAAGAAAAAAAAACTAGGCTTTCTAACATAAGAAAAGATATAGAGTTACCATTTAAGCATGAAGAAGTTTCCTTTATCCAATTTTATTACAACAAAGCAAAATTTCAGATGATTTAAACCATGATGCAGGAATTAATGAACCATCAAAACTAATCATACAGGCAAACAATAAAAAAAATTTCCAATAATTTTGATTTTTTTATTAACAGCCAATTTTTAAAATTTTGATATACAAAATTTGAAAAAACTCTTTTTAATCTTGTTTTTATGTTGCTACTTACAAAGTTATGTTTCATGTTATGTTTTGTTGTTGCTACTCACAAAGTTATGTTTCATGTTATGTTTTGTTGTTGCTACTTACAAAGTTATGTTGCATGTTATGTTTTTATGTTGCTACTTACAAAGTTATGTTGCATGTTATGTTTTGTTGTTGCTACTTACAAAGTTATGTTGCATGTTATGTTTTGTTGTTGCTACTTACAAAGTTATGTTGCATGTTATGTTTTGTTGTTGCTACTTACAAAGTTATGTTTCATGTTATATTGTTTTGATGCTTGTAGTTACAGTGCTCTATGCAATTATGGCTAACTGTGTTTGTTCTAACTGTGGCTGTTCTTTTCTAACAGTTTTTTATATATGTCAGATGAATTTAAAAAATATATATATATAAGGAACATTACAGAGTTTGTTAAAAAACTGTACTTGACAAATTTTGCAATAAAAACTTGGCGATAGAGAAAAATCCCAGTCATTGCACTAGATGTATTATCAGAGATTATCTTTTTCTGTATATATCCAGAATTCTGGATATTTCTTTTAACTTTTAGTTTTTCTGAATTTCCAAAAATTTTTCCAAAAAAATAAATTTAAATATATATTTGCAATTGCAATTTTCAAAAACAAGAAAAATTTCATTAAAATTGAGAAAGTCATCAGTTTAAAGCTATATTTAGACAAATATGAAGGAAATGAATTCTAAATTTTTTCCAGATTTTTTTTGCAAAATTCTTTCCAGATTTTTTAAATATGACCTAGATGATCTCTTCGAAGATCTTATTAAATATGACCTAGACGATCTCTTCGAAGATCTTATTAAATATGACCTAGATGATCTCTTCGAAGATCTTATTAAATATGACCTAGATGATCTCTTCGAAGATCTTTTTAATTGGTCAATAAAGAGAGTAATAATCTCTTAGATTACCCATGCTACCATGCTACCAAAAAATCATTCAGATGATTATTATTTTTGTAGTGATTGATGTTACTGAATGTAACTCCAAAAATTGTATTCTAATTGACTATCCTGACCTTCTTTCAACTAATCAGACATAGTCAAGAACCTTTTTTCCTGTGTCATAGACTATTGATGAAGTTTTACCTGATCAGTCTAGTGAAATTGAATATGATGAAGATGGACCGGACTTTCTATAGAAAATTCAAAACTTCAGTTATTTACACATGATGAGTTAGATGTAATAAGAAATTTGGGAACTAACTAAAGAATTTATAAGAGATTTGGGTACTAACTAAAGATTTAATAAGAAATTTATGTTTAACGAAAGAAAAAGTTTGAATTGCTTGGCATTAGACTAAAGAAAAAATATCTGTAAACACTTGAAACAACTATTTATCAATATAAAATCAGAGATCAGTATTTTAATAAGTTTTTTAATGAAGACTATAATTTGCTGCATTCAATATCATGATGTTGATGGCCTAATTAATGAATTTACACTCATATAAAAAACATCTGCAGAAAACTGGAAAGAAAAAAAAGAAAAAAGCTCCTTAAATTTGCAAAAGGGCTTCTAAATTTCCAAATTGGCGCCCTAAATTTGCTATTCCCCTTCCTTCCTAATTGGGTGTGTAGGTAAACCTAGCCATGGTTCTTAGTAAACAACTTAGTTTTAATTCAGAGCCCTTAGCTTGCTTGGATTGACTCAGTATGAATGTATTTATGAAAATCAAAAGTATTGAGTAATCAAAATCCTTTTACAGCAAGACATAAACCAGGTTGTACTCAATTATTTGTACCAGTAGTAGGGTCATGTACTAGTATATAGGGTCATTGTACCAGTAGTAGGATCATGACGATCTTAATCCTTATCTGACCTGATGATTACTGAACATACAACTGGAACAAATAGCTGCAACATTTCACTGAAACATATTTATGCAACCTATTACTAGAACAATAAATACTGTAATATATTACTAAACAGTATTACTTGAGCAAATTACTTTTAAAAACTATTTGTATTATTATGATGATGTAAATAGTTTTTTAAAAGCAGTTATTTTTATTAGTAATATATTCAATGTTTCAGTGAATATATTACTGACAAAATAACTACATCATACTACAGGTACACATTATTAGAACTTATTACTGGAAAAAATAACTGCAACATATTACTGAAAAAATTACCAAAATATATTACTAAAACTAACTTATGCAACATATTACTGGAACAAATAACTGCAACATGTACCTATTCTATGCACTATATCACTTCACAAATATTAGTCTGGGTTTTAAGTTAGTCAACTTTTATTCATTTTTTATTTCACATTTAAAAATCAATTTTTTATTTAGAAAAAACAGTATGCAATGAATAGTCTTGATTTCAATATAAAAGATGAACTTTTCTGCGAACTTTTCCCTGATATCACAAATGTAAGTTAAATTAGTATTTTTTAAGGACTTATATTAAAACACAAAAAATTTAATAATCAGAATAATGAATTTAAGTAATTGGTAGCAGGTTTTTTTTGTAAACAAAGTTTATTATTCAAATACAGACTAGACATTTTAATTTTAAACATTCTTTTGTTATGCAGAAATATTTAAAAAAAAATTGTATTGCTCAAGGACATTCAGAAAAGAATAAAAATCTTTATCTGGTATTTAACTCAAATTAAAGCACTAATAAATTAAAATATTGTAATTATTTTGATATTATATTTAGTTATATATACAGTCTCATAAGTTATGTACATGCTTTTGAATTAAAATATTTAAACAAATAAATAAAGTTTATTTTTTATAAGTTTACTTGATAGTATTTTTATTGAAATAAAAAATTAATAGTAAAAAATTAATAATAATAGAAAAAGTGTAAACAAATTACCAAAAGTTATTCCACACTATTACTTCATTCTTTGAGTTGGGTGCAGGTTTTTGAACAGGTTCTTTAAAGTATTCAAATTTTAGAAATAAAAAACAGTTTGAATTCTTTCTTCAATAAATTTTTAATAAATGCGTTATAATGAGCAAATTTAATAAAATAAATGAGCATATATCAAAAGAACAAACACTTCTTATATATATATATATATATATATATATATATATATATATATATATATATATATATATATATATATATATATATATATATATATATATTATATATATATATATATATATATATATATATATATGTATATATATATATATATATATATATATATATATATATATATATATATGTATATATATATATATGTATATATATATATATGTATATATATATATGTATATATATATATATGTATATATATATATATATATATATATATATATATATATGTATATATATATATATGTATATATATATATATATATATATATATATATATATATAAATATATATATATTTGTATATATATATACATATAAATATATATATATATTATATATACATGTATATATATATATATATATATATATATATATATATATATATATATATATATATATATATATATATATATATATATATATATATATATATATATATGTATATATATATACATATAAATAAATATATATATTATATATACATGTATATATATATATATATATGTATATATATATATATATATGTATATACATATAAATATATATATATATTATATATATATGTATATATATATATATATATTATATATATTTTTTTAATTCACCTCCTCAAGGCCGAGAAGGCCACTACAGACGAGGAGGCTACTTATTTGTGGTTATAACCCTCTCTCAACTCTATAAGTCCGAAACACAAACCTTGGCGAACATGGCCTCATGTATGATTAAATTGATGTCATTTAAGGACGATGAACAAAGAGAACCGACTTGTAGCCAGATTTATGAAGATGAAGATAATGAACTAAATATAAATGAATTGTTAAAATTGTTAAAAAATCTTAATTCTTCTTTGATGACTATGAACATAAGTTCTCTCAAAATGCATGCTGTAAATAGTCACTCAAGAGTTGCTCTTAGCAAAAAAAAGTTGTTACATGTTCAAAAAACAGTAAAGTTAGGTATTGCAAGGACTTTAAATATAGATCCTGAACAGTCAAGTGAAGAAGATTCCTTCAATAAATTATCTAAGGAAGTTAAAGGTAAAGCAAATGACACGGATATACTTATTAGAAAAATCAAAGAAAAAATGTTAATTTCCAATTGTAATCAGAAAATTTAACTACTAACAATGGTTCCAATTTCAGGAAAAGATAAAATACCATTTTTCTGCAGCATATTGACCATTGTGTGACCACACAAAGATATAAAAAAAGAATTTAATGTTACTAATTATATGGTGCAGATATCACACAATATGCTGCAGAAAAATGGTGTTTTATCTTTTCCTGAAAAAAAAAGGAAAGGAAATACCTCAAGAAACAAATACAAAAGTGTTTGATTCTTTCAAATCTAAATGAGCTATATGCAAAGTTTAAAACCTATTATCCAGATATAAAGAGCTGTTTTTCTAACTTTAGCTCATATCGTCCAAAATGGTACATTACAGTTAGAGCATCTGGTATGCATACAGTATGTGTGTGCACTTACCATCAAAATGTTAAGTTAATGATTAGTACAGTTGAAGTATCAAAGGATTATCACGAGCTTATTGATATACTTATTTGTAGTAGGGCAAACAAGACTTCCGTGATACATTGTTGCCCTTTGTGCCCGGAAGATTCTACATTAGTACATTATCTTGAAAATGAGTTGTACTCTTAAGACAATATTGATGAAGATGATGATTATTGTATAGATTACAAACAATGGAAAACAACAGACCGATCTGAGCTATTAAGTCTAACATAAATAACGAGTAGCTTTATTAATACTTTGAAAAATAAGTTACAAAAACTTACTGTTCATTCTTACATTGCAAAAATTCAAGCTGCTTTTTTAAAAAAGTTAAAAAATGAGTTAAGTAGTACTGAGGTCATTGTCCTTTGTGATTTCTCAGAAAATTAAGAGTTTGTTGTACAAGACGAAATACAAAGTTTTAACTGGAACAAAATTCAAGCAACATTGCATCCAATTGTAATTTATTATTAAAAAAATAATGTCAATATATTTTATCTCAGATGATTTACTGCATGATGTAGATATGGTTTATCATGTGATGAAGCTAACAATTGAATATATTAAAAGCAATATTTCTTATCAAATAGAAAGTGTCCATTACTTTTCAGATGAGTGTGCTGGCCAGTACGAGAACTGCAAACACTTGGTAAATATATGCCACCATGAACAAGATTTTGCTTTGAAATGTACCTGGTCTTTCTTTGCAACAAATCACGGTAAATCACCCTGTGATGGTATTGGTGGGACTGTAAAAAGACTAACTTCAACTGCAAGCCTACATCAAACAACAACAAATCATATTCTTACAGCATTTGCAATGTTTAATTTTTGCCAAAATGAAATCATAGGAATTAATTTTTAATATATATTCAAGGAGTCAAACACGATAATTCGAAGTGAAATGGAGAAAAGATATACAACTGCAAAAACGTTACCAGGCACTTGCAGCTATCACAATTTTGTTCCAATAAGTAACACAAAAATTGGAAACAAAGTTGTTTCTGAACAATTAGAGTATTCATTTGTTTTTAATTTTCAAACTGATAAGATTATTAAAGAATTCTTGTCTAATATAAGTATTGGTGTGTTTGTATGTTTGACATATGATAAAAATCCATGGACCGGACTAGTTGAGGAAAATGATGTTGAAAATAAAGACTTTCAAGTTAGATTCGTGCATCCATGTTACTCTTCAAGGTCATATTATTGGCCTTCTAGAGGCTTCTTTCTTCTTTCTTCTTTTTTTTAAATGTTAAAGATTGTTAATTCTTATTACCTTTTAGTTTTAATTTTTCTTATTGCAATTTAATTATTTCCATGGTTTTAATATTTTTTTGATTTATGATTTTAAGACTTTGAATGCAAATAAAGTTGATTTAAGAAAGAAAACTCTTCCAGATTTTTTGTATTATGGAGTTTGTTACATATAGAACATTAGAAAAAAAATTTCAGAATCATATCATTTAGGCATCTCAAGATAAATTTTTTTTTGTACGGGGCATCAAAATTCTTACAAAAAGTGTTACACCATTTTGAAATTGAATATTTATATAGAAGCTGAAATTTTTTAACGTTTTAGCCATGATTTTTGAGTTCCTCACCCTAAAAAGTAATTAGGTAGAAATTATCATCACTATTGAACAAGTATTTCATAAGTTAAAGTTAATTATGTTGTGCAATGAGCTTAAAAAATAAATGGCGCTGAAAAAAAAGTCAAAAAAGAGATTGGGACCAAGTATCAATATCTCTGAAACCTGTAAAAAATCTGATACTAAAATTTGGAGTCAAGTTTTCTTTCATTAATTTAAGCTTTTACTCCAAAAATCAGCAAAATCTGTGATGGTGCCAAAAAAATTTTTTTTAGTTAATGACCCATCATGGAAATCAAAATTTTGTGCTAATAGACACTCAATACTTAAAATGGCATATTCATTGTTCATTGGTTCATTCTTGTTAAGTGCAAAAAATCTTGGTGAGCATTAATTTATTGAAATATTATTAACGCTCACTTAAGGCCACTGTAACTGGGATTGAGGAAAAATAATCAATGCAATCACTACATTTCTGAAGAGTTCACCAAGCTTTATTTGAGAAATATTTGTTTAAAAAAATAATGGAAATGAGGTTTCTCTCCAAAGTTAGCAGTGTGAATTTGTCTCATATGAAATAACTCTTCAAAAAATGGAAGCAGGCACTCTTGATATCTGCTTCAGACAGTTTTTGATATTCCCATAAAAAAGAGAATATAAAGCAAAGGTTTCTTAAATTGCTGTGAAACGAGCAGTCTATCAATTGCAGAATTAAGAGTGTGATAAAAAAATCACATCACCAGCGAAATTTTTGCGCATCACTTTTTTGGCAGATAGGAAATTCAAAATTTTTTTTTTGCAGTATCTGTAGCTAATTTGGTTTTTTCCATAATTTCAGACACTCCTTCCAAACAGAATCAAGGTGACTATCAATATTTAAATATTTTTCATCTTAATGTCATGAGTTACCTTTCTTGCTTGAATGACCTGGTTGTAGCAATCAATCTATGTGAAGACTTTCATGAAAGTTCCAGATGTTAAAACACATTGAAGGATCACATATATTTATAGGCACATAAACACTGGTGGCCCGAGCATTTTGCTCAGGTGACTGGCCCTCTGCACAGTCCTGGGCTAGGCAATCTACTGGACCCAGCAGACTGGTGTTAAATTAGTAGGTAATACATTGGAGCCAATTTAAACTTTACTCCCATCTGCTCCAGAAAAACTTCTCAACACCATCTTTTGCAATTGAAAAAAGGGTTGTAGTGGAAAAATAGCTGAAAAAAAGTCGAGTTAATGTGTTCACCAGTATGTATTAATTGTCGAGGCCAGTCTTGTTCCAATACTGAATCAATTTCAACAAATAGAGATTTTGACGATATTAATGATGAGACAGCTAGTACATCTTTTTCACATTTCCAGCTAGAAAAAGAAAAAGTAGAAGAGGAAGAAGATGAAGAAAAAGAATAAAAATAAAAAGCTAAGAAGATATAGCATACTAATATATATAATAATATATAATAATGATACTAATATATACTATATAAAACATTGTATACAGATTATGTTGAAAAGACTTCTTCAATTTTAAGATTTGCAATATCTCAGGAATAGCGATTCTTAGAAAAAAAAAGTTTAAAAACAATTTTTGTAGATAATTTCATGATCTAAAAATTTTGCTTGAGCAATTTTTTTCTTTAATAAAACCGTTTACTAGAAAAATATGAAAAACCATTTTTTTTTTACCTTTGACCTTGAATATATTTTTTTTTGCAGATGTAGGATCGATGGGGACTTCATTCATAAGGTGTGTCATTTTTCAACAATTTTTTCAAACTAAATCCCAACCACCTGGATTAGTTGACCGGTTGGATAAAAATGATTTTACGCTAAAAATTTTTTTTTGAAAGCCATTTATAAGGTCTCCAATTTTACAATATGTGCCCCAAAATCCCAACTTTTTTAACCAAAAAGCCGTTTTTTAACCATAAAGGTCCCCTTAAACATTGACATAAAACACCAATTTTTTTTCTATGAACTCTAAAATGCCTAAATATTAATTTGGAATTGGTTGGGAAGTTTACAATAAAAAAATTTATACTAATTTAGGTCAAGAAAAATAGCTTAAACGCACTAACTTAGTATAATTTTTAAGTATATTTAAATAGAATGACGCTTGCGATCGAATTCACCTCACGTGTGTCACAAACAAAAATAATCTTTCTTTTTCGAACTATTTATTCTAAAAAAATAAGAAAAGATTAAAAAACGAATTTGTGACATACTTTTACTTAAGCTCAGAATATTTTTATTATTATAAACTGTAATTTATAACTTTTACTTTAAAGATAAAATAAAACGAAGATCTAAAAAAAATTAAAGATGCTACCAAAAATTACGAGATCACTTTCAAAGACATTTTTATTTGAAGAAAAAAAAGTGTTAGAAAAACTTTGTGAAATGCAGTTTGCCACAAAAGAACAAGTGCAGCTAAATATCGAGAAGATATAATAAAAGTCAAAGTAAATTTCCAATAAAATAAAACGAAGATCTAAAAAAAATTAAAGACGCTACCAAAAATTACGAGATTACTTTCAAAGACATTTTTATTTGAAGAAAAAAAAGTGTTAGAAAAACTTTGTGAAACGCAGTTTGCCACAAAAGAACAAGTGCAGCTAAATATCGAGAAGATATAATAAAAGTCAAAGTAAATTTCCAATAATTGCACACTTTGATGGAAAAATCTTGCATGATATTACTAACGGTACAAAACAAAAAAGAGATCGTTATGCTGTTCTTGTAAATATCGATGGTGATTTAAAACTTTTTGGCATTGGAAAATTGTACTGGAAAATTACATCATGATACTTTAATAAACATTTTGGATGAATATAAGCTAAGAACTTATATAAAGGGTCTAGGCTTTGACACAACTTTAACTAATACAGGAAAATATTCCGACACAAACATTAGGTTTTGTCAAACACAGGGTTCAAATATATTACAGCTTGCATGCAGGGCCGGCGCGAGTAGGTGTCACGTGGGGGGGGGGGGTGCTATTGCAATTTAGTATTTTCAAGAGGTGATTATAAAAAACTGGTAGAACTTACGCTCACCTACTTATGTCCAGATGTAAGCTTTAATATTTATGCTCCCGGAACAGTTTCCCATGCTTGCTTTATGGCAAAGTCTATATATTATCTTAAAATTCAAATTTTAAGTAATCAGTTTCCCTACCAATTTTCAGCTTGTTTACAAAAAGAAATCATTAAAATGGCGGAATTTATTTCTATATTTTATACTGTGTGGTTTGTGCGTTCCTCTTTAGTTTCCTCTGCACCTTATCAAGATTTAAATGCGTACTGGCACATGGTTCAGTATAAACGTTGGGTGGAATCTTATGATCCAGGAGCTAATGATATACTAGAGGGAATTGAAGAAGTATTGAAATCAATGGAGAGACATACGTGGTATTTGGATCAAACCTTGATTCCATTATGTCTCGCAGATAAAGAACTCGAAGATGATGAGGAAGAAAAAGTAGCAAAAGTTCTTTTCTCGCAACCTGTTCCTACTCACTATGAGAAGTTTGAAAATCCAATTCTTCTGAAAGATCTAGACTTCACCCAGGAGAAACCACGTAGCTTGTCACAGTTGGTTGGTAGGAACTCGTGGTTTATTGTCAGTCTCTTAATTTTGAGCAAAGACGATGATAAACCTTGGCTGAACTGTCCTTCATCTTTTTGGGGCTTTATCGACCAATTTAAAACTTTCATTGAATTTGTTCGCCGAATATATGTTGTCAACGGCTGCTCTGAACGAGCAATTAAGCTTGTGTCAGAGTTTGCTAATTCTGTTCACAATGAAGAGGACAGGCAAGATTTACTGTTGGCTGTTCAGCATAGTAGGGATAAATTTAGGGAATTCGAAAAAGTACAAACTAAGGAGAGTGGCAAAAAAAAATTGCGCTGACAAAGCATAGTTTGGAGAATATTTATTCAATTTTTCACCAAAAACGAAGAAAAGGTTGTTGAGTTATAGTTTTACTAACTGTTTTTGAAGAAAACTTTTTCTTGATTATTTATTACTAATTTATCTCTGTTGACCTTAACAATATCGTTAAATATATATATTTTTTTAGCAGAAAATTTATTATTTTACCTAAACTATCTCAGCTACATGATATTCAGCAAAATAAAAATGTTTCATTAAAACGCTTATTTTGCAGCGCCTATATGAAAATCTGATCAAACTATATATAAAAATAAAACTTTAAGGCAGATGATACATAAATATTTTGTAAAAAAAAGTAAAATAGATGGAGGAGGGGAAGTGAAAGAAACGAACTCTCCGCCGCCCACCACTAACCCTCGTATGTAATAAGTTATTTTCCCTATAGGGGTCCCTATGTTAGAAATTAATTTTAAAATTGAATTTTGGATCAAATTAATCTTTGTAAACAAGAATTTGATAAAATTTGTCACGGAAAGTTTGAGTGATAAAAAAATTGGTCAATAGATATATCCATAAAATTACCTAAAATTAGAACGTTTTCGCCCATTTTTCCAATGTCAAACCAATACACTTTTTAAAAACTTTTTAGTAAAGTATGACACGAATTCGTTTTTAAATCTTTTCTAATTTTTTTAGAATAAATAGTTTGAAAAAGAAAGATTGTTTTTGTTTATGACACACGTGATTTAAATTTGATCGCAAGTGTCATTCTACTTAAAAATTATACTAAGTTAGTGCATTTTAAGCTATTTTTCTTGACCTAAATTAGTATATACTTTTTTATTGTAAACTTCCCAACCAATTCCAAATTAATATTTAGGCCTTTTAGAGTTCATAGAAAAGGTCCCCGCTTTTTGGTTAAAAAAGTTATGGTTTTGGGGCACAAATTGTAAAGCGGGGACCTTAAAAATGGCTTTCAAAAATTTTTTTTTAGCGTAAAATCATTTTTATCCAACCGGTCAACTAATCCAGGTGGTTGGGATTTAGTTTGAAAAAATTGTTGAAAAATGACGCACCCTAATATATATATATATATATATATATATATATATATATATATATATATATATTATAATATATATATATATATATATATATATATATATATATATATATATATATATATATATATATATATATATATATATATATATATATATATATATATATATATATATATATATATATATATATATATATATATATATATGTATATATATATATATATATATATGCATATATATATATATATTAGGGTGCACCCTAATATATATATATATGTACATATATATATATTAGGGTGCCTAATATATATATATATATGCATATACCTAATATATATACACCCTAATATATATATATATGCATATATATATATATATATATATATATATATATATATATATATATATATATATATATATATATATATATATATATATATATATATATATATATATATATATATATATATATATATATATATATATATATATATATATATATATATATACATATATATATATATATATATATATATATATATATATATATATATATATATACATATCTTCCTTATGAACCTACTGATGATAGAATGATAGAGAAACAAATTGTTGAAAAAAATGTAGATAAGTGTTTTTACAAGTGTTTATATATATGTATATATATATATATATATATATATATATATATATATATATATATATATATATATATATATATATATATATATATATATATATATATATATATATATATATATTTCTTATTATCCCAATCTAATTTTTGTATTCAATGCTTTATTTAAAATCAATTTTAAAAATCTTTTTAGGAAATAAAGGATATATTAAAAAAAAGATCCGAACAAAACGAAGAAAATGAATTTACGTCGTCAACTACCCCGTTAAGTGACTTTCGTTCTGTTGATAACGATAACTTTATGAACGGCAGCATCTTTGCAAATATGTGCGTTTTTATAGGTTTTGCTATTTTTGCATTAACTGTTCATTATGTACTAAAAGCAGTGTCCCCAGAAGAAATGAGTTAATTGAAGTATTTTTTATTTATTTATAAAAGTTATTTAGTTTATTTTTTTATTAAATAAGACTCTAAAAAATAAATAAGTTTTTAAAAAGGTTTTTTGAATTGTTTTTGCGTTTTTTAGCCAATACAAAAATGCGCCCAATTATAAACTCCGTGTGAAAGTCTGCACTTTTAAAGGTGTATAGTCCTCATTTTGTGCTTTAGAGTTTGTTTTCTTCCAGCGTGTATCTTGAATGCTATACATTGGCCTGCTCAAGCTCGAAAAAAACTTATTTACTTTAATATTTCAATGGTGTTTTTAGTACCATTACAAGAAGATTTGTAACATGCCATATAAAATTTAGATCAAGCATTCTACACAACTTTTTAATAAATATTTCTATATTTATTAAAAAGTTAAATATTTTTTAATAAATATTTCTAGTCTTTTAACCGTATGCATATTTTCACTAAAGATTTTATAGTATACTTGTATATTTTGTACCTTTAACACTGAGAGCAGCATAGAATAAATGCTTGTGGTAACAAACGAATGCAAGATATTTCCATAGTGCATTTCTCGTTAAATTGTTAAAAAAATTTTAACTTAAAACTTATCCGCATAAAATCTATCCAAGCCACGCAAGAAAATTCATAAATCTACACAAGTATCAAAATCTTTTTTTTTTTTTTTTTTTTTTAACCCGTTAACTGTCTATGCCGTAATATAACGCAAATAAAAAGTGGTTCCTAAATATCCATGCCGTAATATAACAGTTCCATGCATCTGTTATTATTTTCTTCTTGTTCATCAGTAATTATACGTCTACTTGTCACAAAATTTATTACTACATAATTAAAAAGTATTTGTTTAAATAATTTACTTTTACACGTGTTTACTTAAATTTTAAATATGACAAATAAGGAAGTTCTTCCAGTGCAAAAATAATTACCAAAATGTAAATACTTACTCACTAAAGGATAGAAAATTATATATATGATGAATCAATCATGAAAAGATTTGATGAATGATTATTGAAAATGTTAATATAAGATTGATACTCAAAGAAAGTGTGCGGTATGTTACAAACACAGAAAGAATGTGTGCGGTATGTTACAAACACAGAAAGAAAGTGTGCGATATGTTACAAACACAGAAAGAAAGTGTGCGGTATGTTACAAACACAGAAAGAAAGTGTGCGGTATGTTACAAACACAGAAAGAAAGTGTGCGGTATGTTACAAACACAGAAAGAAAGTGTGCGGTATGTTACTAACACAGAAAGAAAGTGTGCGGTATGTTACAAACACAGAAAGAATGTGTGCGGTATGTTACAAACACAGAAAGAAAGTGTGCGATATGTTACAAACACAGAAAGAAAGTGTGCGGTATGTTACAAACACAGAAAGAAAGTGTGCGGTATGTTACAAACACAGAAATCAAAAAGTGTGCGGTATGTTACAAACACAAAAATCAAAAAGTGTGCGGTATGTTACAAACACAAAAATCAAAAAGTGTGCGGTATGTTACAAACACAGAAATCAAAAAGTGTGCGGTATGTTACAAACACAGAAATCAAAAAGGTTCAAGATATGAATGTTTAGAATATAAAACTTTGTGCAGCTCCAAGCTTTTCTAATTCTCATACAAAAAGTGAATATTAGTGAATACATTTTTACAATTTTTTGTTTATGTAGTATGATTTATATATTCTTAAACTTGAATAGTGACGTTTTGTAGTGTTTAGTAAGGTTAAAAACTAAAAAAAAAAACTTCTTTTATTTTGTTTGTAAACAAACACGATGATTTAAAAAACACAGGACATTTAGCGACCACTTTAAAAAAAAAAGCCGGACTTATAGCAACCGTATTTTAAAAAATACACGGGACTATCAAAGGGTAAAATAGCTTTGCAGGGCAACATGAAAACTTTACAATTTGTCACCATGCATAAACGATTTCTGCGCCATGTAATACCAATGTTAAATACCTTGATTCATTTGTTTGCAGTTTACAAACCACAGGTCAAATACTGTCTGCTGATGCAATACTTAAAAATGTCTACAGTTAATTAAAAAAATCATGCTTGCGTACATCCTTGCTTGAGCTAGTGCAAAACAAACTTAATAATAGATTTTAGATAATAACCATTATTACTAGGCTTGATGCTGAAGCTAGTACAAAACAAACTTGCAAATAATTTTTTGATTGTAGCTATTATTACTATTCCATCAAACCTAATCAAATATTTTCGTTTTTTAATTTTAAACTATTATCTTCTTTGATCATAATAATAAATATAAATAATAATAATATATAATATATAATAATAAATCTTTGATCATAATAAATTGTTTGGATCGTTATGGTGTCTGATATTTAAAAATACAGAAATCTATAACAACTAGTTTAATCTAGGTACACTGTAAAAAACCTTGTGTCGAAAACACTTGATCTTGTATTGCTTTTATTTAACATAAGTTAATGTTAAATTTTGTTAGCATCGTTCTAAAGCGCATGCGTTAAATGCAAATTTTACTTTCTGGATGACAAAATATGTGTTAAAAGTTTTTTAAAAAATGCATGCGTTAAAACTAATAAAAATGGAGTTTTAAAAAGTAGTAAATTTAAATTAAAATTTTGAATAACTTGAAAGTTGTGTAAGATTCTCGTAACATTCTCATCAAAATTAGACTAGAAAATGGGTTACTTCAGTGTATTTCTTGAGTCAATCTTACCGGTTTTTACATCCATTTAAAACAAACATGACAACCATTTAAAACAACCATGACATTCATTTAAAACATCACGAGAATCAATTAAAACAATGTGATTTTTAATTAAAACAATCGTGATTTTCAATTAAAATATTTAACGTATTGGCAATCTCAACATTCTATATTATTTAAAAAAAAATTTATTTTAAATTTAAATGGATGTCATGCTTGTTTTAAATGGATGAAAAGCCATATTTTTTTTGCATATTTTTTATACACTTACTGTATTGGCAAAACAACCATGAAGTTCAATTAAAACATGAGTAATGATAATTAAAACAACTATGATTTCCTATTAAAACGTTTAGCGCATAAGGATATTAAATTTTTATTAAAACATGCAACGAAATTCTGTTTGTCAAAAAACGAGAAAATTTGTTTTGAGATTGGTCGTTGATCAAAGAAAAACTCAATCTGAAACTTCATTGCCGCGAATTACTCAATTTGAATCTTCATGCCGCAAAATTCTGTTTCCCAAAAGATGCGAGATCTTGTTGTAAATCTAGTTGTTGATCAAAAAAAAACTCAATCTGAAACTTCATCGTTAACAGGAGTTAATCAAAGTACAATACAATCAATTTTAAGAAGGCGCAATCGAACGAATTCAACACTTCCTAGTTCTAGACCTGGCGCTCGTCACGTTATTTATAATGAAGAGATTAGAAGAAGAATTGAAGAGCTTATAAACGATATCACAACGACACCTATAATTTAAATTAAATATGCTTTAAATGTAAATGTATTGATTAAAACTGTCTGGATATGGGTGACTAATCTTGGATACACATATAAAATTACTCGACCGATTTATGAAAGAAGAAGCGACAGTAAGGTAAAAAATATTCGTATTGAAAATATTAGGTGGTATACTTCAATCTCGCCTATTGATCGCTATCGAAATATCGTTTTTATTAATGAAGGTCCATTTAATTTACACATGTTTTGAAGTCATTCATGGGCAAGAAGAAGAGTAACACCAACCCCCCCCCCCAAAAAAAAAAAAAAAAAAACGGTCCTAGCTGGAAGAAATGAACTAATTACAAGAATGCGTGAGGCATGTTTATCTATTCCTAATAGTAACTTATCAAACTATTACACACATTGGGAAAACTTTTTCGAAGCATATCTTAGGTCAGATGACATACCTTGATAGTACCGGTTTTTATCGGTTTTTAAAAAGCTTCCTTAATGTGTGTAATAGTTTGATAAGTTAACATTAAGAATAGATAAGCATGCCTCACGCATTCTTGTAATTAGTTTTTTTCTTCCAGCTGGGACCGTATTTTTTTTTTTTTTCACATTTTTGTCGTTGTTTACAAAGATAAACAGACAAAGCTTCTGAAAGAAGATCATAATGATCTTATCATCAGAACCTTTTACAAGTTTTTTAAAATCAATACATTAAAAAAACTAAAAAATTACAATAAATCGTGATATAAATAGGAAATATAAATCAAACCACTCAGGGGCGGCTGCAGCATTTTTTGATGTTTGAGATACCTAACATGGAGCAAACTCCAAAAATTTATATGTTTATACTTATATCAAATAAGGATGCTTTACAAAAAATTGCAATGATTGGAGCCTGGGAACAAAAAAGCGCTAAAATTTTAGTTACACTTGCCCCAAACGTGAGAGCAACAAGTTGATAAAATAATTTTTATACTATTCTTAACTAAATCTATATTCATCGACAAATTTTAAAATTCACACAAAAATCTTTTAGCGTTCAAAAACAATGACAATAAAAAGTTTTAACTCCCCTCAATTTGAGGGGGTTGCAAATTTTATAAGGCCATAACTGATGAACGCTAATAGATTATTGTATGAGTTTTAAATTTTATCGATGAATATATACTTGATTAAAAATAGTAGAAAAAATATTTAACCAACTTGTTGCTCTCACGTTTGGGGCAGGTGTAGCTAAAATTTTAGCGCTTTTTTGTTCCCAGGCTCCAATCATTGCATTTTTTTGCAAAACATCCTTATTTTACATAGGTATAAACATATAAATGTTTGGAGTTTGCTCTATGTCCGGAAGTTAGCTATCTCAACGACAAAAAATGCTGGATCCGCCCCTGCCACTAATGTTATATATAATAAAAAGTCTGATTATATCATCAGATCTTATAAAAACATAAATATATAAATACATATATATACAAAGTAAATACAGTAATACATCTCTTTTTAATAGGCAAGAGAAAATACATCAGTCTTACAGTTAAAAAGACAAATACGTGATTGTTATAA